GGGTTGGTTCGAGCCCCGCGTCGGGCTCTGTGCTGACTGCCAGCTCAGAGCCTGGAGCCTATTTCGGAGTCTGTGTCTCCCTCTCTCTGACCCTCCCCTGCTCACTCTGTCTCTCTCTCTCTCTCTCTCCTAGAAATAAATAAAAATATTTAAAAAAAAAAAAGAAAAGAAAATATTAGTCAATTTGACCATATCAAAATCAAGAATGTCAGCTCAAAAGCTTGAAAGAAAAACTAACAGGAGCACCTGGGTGTCTCAGTTAAGTTTCCGACTCTTGATTCCGGTTCAGGTCATGACCTCATGGTTGTGGGATCGAGCCCCACATCAGGCTCCCCACTGACCGCACAGAGCCTGCTTGAGAATCTCTCTCTCCCACTCTCTCGGCGCCTCCTCCCTCATGCTCTCCCGCTCTCTTTCTCTCGACAAAAGTCAATAAATATTTTTTGGAAAAAGAAAAACTAACAAACTACTATATTCAGACCTGGCAGAGCAAAGCGGGCCTATCATTTCCTGAAAAACAAGTGTGAGGGCGCTGGAGCAGGCGTCACTTAGCTCTGACAGGTGCGCCACAGGAGGAAGTCCCTTCTGTCCTGGCGGTGCTCCAAGGCTCCAAAACAAAATCGCAAGCAACTGGACCAAACCTGACAGGCCAAGATGGCTGACAAAGTAGGGCAAAGTTCACATTATTCATTACACTACCCCCCTCCCCCACGAGGCTAAAATCTCCCTCAGGGTGCCATGACAGGAAACCCCTGACCAAAAAAGGAAGAAAGGGCGCTGCCTCCAAGAAAGCTCAGGTAGTGACTATTCCACCCCCTGGTTAACAACGGTCACGACAGAAGCCCAAAACCTAGGGGCCCTGCTCTCCCCTGAGCTCCCCGGCTCTCACGGCTTGATAGTGTACTTTGGCTTTAACGAACTTTCCTGCTTGTACTGCTCATCTGCTGTGCTGGGTCCCTGAATCCTTTCTCCTGATGGGATGAAGAGCCCCCAGTGGCAACTTATGGACAAGCTGGGTCAAAAGCCTCAGGGCCCGACTGAGGTCTCCTCAGACTACGGGGCAAGAAGACCAATGCCTTCTGTAATATACACTATATAGTGTGTGATCGAAAGGGGCCACATTACTTAAGTCCTAAAGATTAAGTTGCTACAGACTATATATTTCATGACAACAGAGAGGTGGAAAGAAAATTACCAGGAGGCCAAGACCCTCTTAAGTAAGTTTTAATGAGTCACTTTCTAGGGGCACCTGGGGGCTCAGTCGGTTAAGCGTCCGACTTTGGCTCAGGTCATGATCTCATGGTTCGTGGGTTCGAGCCCGGTGTTGGGCTCTGTGCTGACAGCCAGCTCAGAGCCTGGAGCCTGTTTCGGATTCTGTGTCTCCCTGTCTCTGATCCTCCCCTGTTCATGCTGTCTCTCTCTCTCTCAGAATAAATAAAACATTAAAAAAAAAAAGTTGTTTTTTTTTTCTTAAATAAAATAAAAATAGGGGCGCCTGGGTGGCTTAGTCGGTTAAGCATCCGACTTTCGCTTAGGTCATGATCTCGCGGTTCGTGGGTTCGAGCCCCGCGTCGGGCTCTGTGCTGACTGCCAGCTCAGAGCCTGGAGCCTGTTTCAGAGTCTGTCACTCCCTCTCTCTCTGACCATCCCCTGCTCACGCTGTCTCTCTCTCTCTCCTAGAAATAAATAAAACATTAAAAAATAAATTAAAAAATAAATAAAATAAAAATAAAGAGTTACTTTCTAGAGGTCATTTGGTTACCTGCCCCTTACTCTGCAAAACATGAATGACCCGGATTTCAAGTTACAATGGGTTTCAGGCTCACTTCAGCAAGGGGAACCTCAGGCTTACTTCACTGGGAATGGGAGTGTCACTGGCAGGTCACGTGGGCGGGCGCTGGGGCATCTATATATGGGCTTCAGTTTACTCACTTAAAAGGACTGGTTAAGAAGTTCCTAAGATCTCTTCATCCATCTCTAGAATCCTGATATTATAACAAAGACTCTAAGGAACATTTATGACCTGTCCCATTTCAAACAGAATCTGCAGCAGCTCATACCTCATGAACACACAGAAGAAGGAGGCGAGAGGTGGGGAGGAGAAGGGCAAGAGAAGGAGAGAAAACTAATGAACCAAAGCCAAGTGGAGAAAAAGGAGCGGAAGAAGCAAAGATAATATGAGAAACTGCCACAACATACCCCAATACTATTAGCCTGCACTGTTTAATGCACACAGATTTTTATTTTTTTTTTAATTTTTAATGTTTTATTTATTTGAGAGAGAGAGAGACAACACGAGCAGAGGAGGGTCAGAGAGGGAGCGAGATACAGAATCTGAAGCAGGCTCCAGGCTCTGAGCTGTCAGCACAGAGCCCGACGCAGGGTTTGAACCCACGAACCATGATGAGATCATGACCTGAGCCAAAGTCAGATGCTTAACCGACTGAGCCACCTAGGTGCCCCTATTTTTTTTTTTCACATAGACTCCATGCCTAATGTGGGGCTTGAACTCACAACCCTGAGATCAAGAGCGGCACGCTCTACTGACTGAGCCAGCAAAATGCCCTAATGCAAAGAGATTTTTAAGTCAAGTCAGACTACTGAGAGAAACCATCTGTTTTTTTTTTTTTTCAAGCCATCTTCCTCCAAATCCAAGGAAACAATTTCTTAGAAAGTCTTTAAAAATAGTTGTAGCCATCCAAAGAGCAAATACAGTAAGCATACTTCACTTTGGAACAAAAAAGAAAAAGTTCCCTTTGTGGTCAGCTTTCCATTTTATTAAGAAGTCGCTTTTCCAATAATTTCAAAATTAGCACCTCAAGTTTACTTCTTGAACTTGAGAGAGAACAAATCAAAGAGAAAGATAAGCATCAGCAGCCTTACTACCCATTTGATGCAGAGGAAGAGACGGCCAGTCCAGGCATTAACGACACCAGGTGCTCCTGAGATCCAGCTTCTCAGGGTTCCAGGTCCAGGCCAGGGGAAGTGCAAGTGCAATCAAAGGAGGCCTGCAACAGCCTAAATCTTTCCTCAGCCTTAATCCATATCAAGTCCATTTTGGAAGTGCCCAAGTTTGAGCTTCAAATAAAGGGCCTTGAATTTGCAAGAGGCAAGCAAGTACTCTCATCAGCTCCTCAGTTTTGAGGACCCAACTGATTATGAAGAAAGGAAAAAAACACACTAAATAAGCTCCTTAAAAACTGGCATTTGCCTTCAAAGATGCCTGGAAATTTAGATTAAATGACACACCATGTGAGCAACAACCAAAAACATTCAATGGAAAGTTTCCCCACAGCAAGTATTGTCAAAGACCAATAATTATAAGATGCCAGGCAGTATTTTAAGAACAAGGTCAGGGAAAGGTTTTCTATCATGATTTTCTTTCCTTTTCATGGAATAAACCACAGACAAAAGTTCATTAGTTGGCTGAGTCACTAAAGCAAACAAAACTCTAGGAAAAAAGAAAAAGCTCAAAATAATCCTAATAAGCAAAGCTCTTGGCAGCAAATTCTCATTTTACCGTAACTGAGAGGTGAGAAGCAGCTTTTCGGCTGAAAACACTAAATTCGCTTCCGGTGCCTTCACCGGGCTAGAGGAGCTGCACGGCACCTGCGATTTAGTGGGGACTCCCGGACTCCAGGACGCCTGTCTGGGATGACCCTATGACTTTCAATAGATCAATGCCTTCAACTGAAACAGCTGTCCTCGAAAATAAGCCACCTCCCCCAGAGCCCTCGAGGTGCACAAGTGCGGAGACGAAGCGCCAAGTTCAGGGAGAGGAGCGTGGACGCAATCAGGGTCAGCGTCTGGTGACGAAAGGCTTTCTTTCCTCCACACACTTCCACGCTCTAAGAAACATCTCCTCCTTTCTGAGAGCTCTTTAACGCCCAAAGTTTCCCGTTTCGGATCTAAAAGCCGAATTTCTTCAGAGAGCAGCCCCCACCCTCCCAGATCTGCTCGGACCCTCAAGTCTCTCTGCAGGACAGTTGTGCTCTGTGTCCCCTCCCAGGGCTGCAGGGAGAGGGACGGGAGCTACTGGGAGACTGGACAGCTCTTCAAAGACAGAGGCATTACTTTAAAGAACACATTTAGAAAATCTCGTTTAATTAGCCTTAATAAAAAGCTGGCAAACCAAGGGACCTTACGCTTTAATCGGTGAATTTACAGTGCATCAACTATATTTCAATAAAGTTGTTAAATATAAAAAACAGCGAGCTACCGAACTGACAGAAGCTACTTAAACAAACAAAAACACAGCATTCTTCAAGCTGAAGGCCAGGGACCAAGCTCAGATCTGTTTCAACCTTCAAAATTAAACAAAATGAAAGGCTGCTGGTACCGGCAGCGGAGACTAAACAAACTATTGTTTGCTGTGCAATCGTTGCATCTTAAAGCCTTCCTCAAAAGAAAATAGCGTAAGAGGGTGGTCCCCAAGATGAAAAACTTCCCATTGAAACAATCAAAAAACATAAATAACGAAGGTGCTCCCCTCCCCCCCCCGTGTCTACTTTCACTTATGACATGACTCCTGTTGTAACAGCAAGTGATTAAAAATTGCAACCAGGAAAGACTACAATGTAGAACGGAATAGGAACTGATCACCAAAACCTTAGAGAGCATTTTCCCAGTACAAGTTCTACCATTTCGGACGCTGTATTCCAGCTCCCAGCGGCTTGTAAATCACTTGCCAGGAAAGGAAGCCCCTTCCCCCACCGAGCCAAGCCATCCTAACAGCCAGCCAGCTTCCCAGCAAAAAGGAAGCCGTCAGGAGCAGCTCCCGGAGCCAGGCTTGCGGGGCCGCCCTCCCACCCCCGCCACCCGTACGGCCAGAGGCCCGCGGGGCTCCCCGGCCCCGACGACCACGCGGCAGGGCCCGAACCCCGCGACCGCGCGGCCCGGGCACCGCTGGGAGCAGCCGCGCCCGGCACAGGCCCAGGGTCGCACAGGCCTTCCCCAAGGAGACGGAGGCTTCCGCCCGCCCAGCCCGGGGCGCCCGGTACCTCATGCTGTAGGCGCCGGCGCCCAGCTCCTGCCCGATGCCCGAGAGGCTGGCGTCGAAGTCGTGCACCAGCCCGGACTCGATCACCTCGTCCATCTTGAGCACCCAGGCCATCTTCCGCCCTCGCCGCCGCCCGGCGCGGCCTCCGCGAGCAGGCGATGGGGCCGGAGCTCCGCGGGCGCGCCCTGGGGGAGGGCGCGGGTGAAGCCTCGGGCGGCGCGGCGGATGGTCACCACAGGCGGCCCGGGCGGCGGCCGGGACGAGAGCGTCCGGGGCCCCGCAAGCAGGGCGCGGCGAGCCCGGCGAGCAGCTGCAGCGGGAGCGGCCGGGCCGCCGGCAGCGCCTCCCTCCCGCGGGCGCCGGCCCCGCGCCTCATGCCGCCGCCGCCCACCCCCTGCGCCGCTAGCGCTGCAGCCGCCGCCGCCCGCCCCGCCCCGGAGCCCCCGGCCGCATCCTCCCCGGCCCCCGCGCGGGGGCGGGAGCTCAGCCCGCCAGTCACCCGATCCCCGGCCTCGACCCCGGCCCCGGCCCTCGGCCCGCCCGCCCAGGCTCTAGCGCCCCGCCGCCCCGGCCAACCCCGCCGACGCCGCTCTGCCGGCCCGGACGCTGGCTCCTATATGGCTGCGGCCCGAGCTCTCTCGCCGCTTCCGCCTCCTCCGGCCCCGCCCCGGCCCCGCCCCCGACCCCGCGTTCGCCGCTCGCCGGGGCCCGCCCCGCACGGCCCGGCGCTTCTGGGCACTCCCGGCGCTTCACCACCGAGAAACTGTCCAGGCCGTGAGGCGCGGCACCGCCCACGCGGCAGCTCCGCAGGCCCCTGCGGCCAGCCGCCTCCCCGCACCCAGCCCAGGAAGAGGCGGTGCCAGCAGGGCAGCCAGCTTCCGCTCGTCCAGGAAAGCGGGCTGATTGACAGGCCAACTGGACAATAATGGCAAGTGCTTGGTCGAGGCTCCCGTGAGTCTCTGTGCTAAGCAACCAATCAAAATGTTCTTCCCCTTGGGCGGTCTCTGGGACTGAATTGGCTGCCAGAAGAAAACGTTCATTGGAGCGCATCGGAGGAAGTCGCAGTAAACGCCAGTCCTGGAGGTTCCTTGCTCCCAGGTGGTGTGTCCGGGGAGTCTCTAGGTTTGCCCACACTACAGACGGAAAGGGCGGGGGGTGGTGCCTGGGGGCTGAAAGGCTTATTGGGCAGAAAATCTTGATTGATATGAAAAGAAGCCAATCAACACTCCTGGAAAGGGCTCCGGAAGTCTTCCCTCAGCTGCAGCATGCCGAGAGCATAATGGCGAACTTGAGTGAAGTCGGGGATGGGTGGCCGTAACAGCCGGGAAGCGTGTTGTTGTCACTCATGTTTCTGCAGGTTCATTGGGCTTGGCTAGATGATCCCCATTCAGGGTATCTGGTCTGTTGTGCTCCTATGGCTGGGGCTAAAGTCCTCTAAGGCTTCCCCACTCACGTGTTTTATTGCTTGATGTTGGGTGTCGACCAGGACCCCAATTGGGGTTGCTGGAATGCCTACGCAGTGGCCTCTCCGTGCGGTCTTGAGTTCCTCTCAGCATGGCAGTCAGGTTCCAAAAGCAAGTGACTCGAAAGGAAGTGGAAATTGCTGGTTTCTTAATAACAAAGATTCTTTGCTTGACCACACTGTCAGGCTCCCACCCAAACCTTCTAGTCCCGTCTGTGCACTTCATTGTAAAATTCAGTTTTAGCAAGAACTCCTCTTTCCCTTGTCTGATCAGGTTCCTTAGCCTCCGCCATCACCCAAGTGATGTCTGATTACCCTGACAGGCCTTCAAAAGAATCCTATTAGGAATTCTAGGAACCACCCTGCCTTACCTCCTAGTAATGTCTTCATAGTAACTTTACATTCAGTCCCCCCCAACCTTCTTCTTCGGTCTAAATTCCCACTTAGTCGTCTGTATTGGGAGTTGAGCCTAATGCCCACTGAAAATTGTGTTGGTCTGGTCCCTGATACGTATTGTGATGGTCCTGAGTAAAGTCTGCCTTACCATTTTTAATAATTGCCACGGAATATTTTTTTCTTTAACACTGAAAGCCTGGGACCAGAAACTGACACAGACTCTTTATTCTGTACTGTATTAGTGAAGCAGCCATAGAATCAGATTGATTGGAGGAGAGTTCAATAATTTGGGGGCCATGTTTTAAACCCCCAAATCCACCCTCTGGCCACCAATGTTTTACATTCTTTCCACATGCAATAAACACTCACCCCAGGCCCCTGCAAAGTTCTCATCCCATTACAACCTTAAAGTTCAGGACGTTGTGAGGTCCTGAAGCAGGTGAGCCTCCTTGGATGCAGTTCCTTGGGTGTGCACTAAGTGGTGTCTCTCTATGAAACTCTGTGAGATAAAGAGATACACCATCTGCCCCAACCACAACTACACACGTCACATGCAATGATGAGAGAGGCCCAGGAAACTTGCCTCTATAGACATTTCTCTTCAAAGAGACGGCACTGGAAGGCACATAGCTCTCACTGGACTGTAGACATTCTGAAATCTAACTGGGAAAATGTTGCCAGTTCTTTGAGTAGGACTTGGTCATTCATCCTGGGAACACTCAGAGGCTCCTGTCCCCTGTCCACTGGATTCTTGATTCCATCCTCTAAGGTATCCTCTAGTTCTTTCATAAGTACGCCATGTTTATGGCTAAATAGTTTTCTCTGCTGCTTCCTGTCCATAGTTGTGCAAAGGTCTGAACTTCTCCCTTCAAGTGGTACTCAAGTTGTCCCTTTCTAATACAATTCATTTTTAAACTTCGGGGTTTTGTTTTGTTTTGTTTTGTTTTTGTGAATCAATTTATAATCTACTCCAATGATGAAAAACTAACAACATGTATCTAGGGGGCAGCTTGGCTGCATTTTCAGACTCAGGTTTCTTACAAGGTTACAGGCAAGATATCAGCTGGAGCTGTAGTTATCTGAGGGCTTAACTGGTGCGGGATGGTCCACTTTCAAGCTCACTTGCATGACTGTTGGCCAGAAGCCTCGGTGCCTCATTTGAGACCACAGGGCCACCCGAGTGTCCTCAAAACATGGCACCTGGCACTTCCCAAAGTAAGTAAACCAAGACAGAGAAAGGAGGTCTCCAAAGTCACGCATTATTCCTTCCAATTTATTGCTGTTCCATAGAAGCACATCTCTCCGTCTAGCTTCTATTCAAGAAGAGAATTTGCCTCCATCTTTTGAAGGATGAACGTCAAAGAATTTGTGAACGTATTTTTAACCAGAGCAGCAGTGTTCATTGTTATCCCTTAATAGGTTTTTCGAAGGCACTAAACAGCACAATTAGATCACAGAAAAAGAAGTTAGAGATTTAAAAGTGGAAAAAGGAAGTTGAAATTATCACTATTTATAGATTATATGTTCATATACCTAAAAATCTTAATGGGAAATGAAAATTTAATAACATAGTGGCATACATCATGAATTTTCATAAATCAGTATGATTTCACATATCATAAATCAATATACAAAAATGTTTGACAATGTAATGAAAGAAAGGTTAAATTTATAACAGGATTTAAAAGGGTAAAATACTTCAGAACTAACCTAACAGGAAGTGTAAAGAACTATGTGGGCACAATTTTTAAATTCTCAAGATGAACACAAAAGTGCAGTGAACATAAAATACTACATCCACTATTATAATGGTAGTTCTGCTTAAGCTAACCAGTAAATTTAATGTGATTCCAGTAAAAATAACAGAATTTTTTAATTGGACAAAACAATTCTAAGATTAATATGGAAAAGTAAATGAGCAAAAAGAGTAAAAAAAATTTTAAGATCTTAAAACATTATTAAACCTAAATATTTGAAAACAGTATTCATTAATGAAAGAATAAATGAGCAAAGGAAAAGAATGAGAAAATTAGGAACAGATCAATATGCATATGGAAATTTATTATACAATAAAAACCAGCATCTCGAATCAGTCCAAGAAAATAAATTATTCAATAACTGCTTTGGAGATCAGCTGTAAGCACCAGCTTGTGCCAAAATAAATTCCACATGGCTCAAATTCCTTTTTCTTCAAAAAAATCTAAAAGGATAAAAAGCAAAATTATAAAACACTAGAAGAAAACATGGGAGAATAATTTTAGAAACTCAGGAAGAGGCTTTTATAACTTTTATAATTTTTTCTTAAAAAACGTATAAATCTTAAGAGAGAGAAAAACTATACTTTCAGGGATCATTTCTATAGTTCGTTAAGAGAGTCAGAGAGAGAGAATCTCAAGAAAGCTCCCCAACGTGGGGCTTGATCCCATGCCCCCGGGATCATGACCTAAGCCAAAATCAAGAGTTGGACGCTCAACTGACTGACCCACCCAGGTGCCCCAACATCAAAGCAACATCAAAGGAACAGGGAAAAAAACTCTTTAGAACTTAGCTCATGATCAAAGGTATATTTCCCTAATATATTAAGAGTCTCTGAAAATAGATTAAACAAAGTCTCGTGAAAATAGCATTTGTATGCTGTCACTCCAAAGAATACAAGTCGGGGTACATCCGTTTGAGATACGCGCACACAGAAATTTTCATCGAAGAGAGCAATAAAGTTGAAGCACTACCTCCTGCGACACAGTCCAAATCCTCATCACCAGAATTCGGTGTTGCCAGCAATGAGTGAAGATTAGCAGTGTCCAAAGGACCCTCTTACCTTGGTCTTCTGCAGAGTTGTGAAAACAGCTGGTACAGGTCTCAGCAGAAAGGCCGCCATGGCCATGGTCACTGATCCTATGCCTACCATTTCCTCCCCATTAAACGTGACCCGGGGGACCGGCCAAAGGAGCAACCCTGCACACAGCCCTTATCCACTCAGTGCTTAGTAAAGGCTAAGGAACAGGAAGTTGCAGCTGACGAATAGGGAGACCAGGCTGGTGATGGAGAACATCAGGGCATTTAGGAATGTGCACAACTGCCTGCTGAGATGAAAAAGACCTACTTACCTGGACTTCTGCATAGCGATCACTTTTTCCTCGAGAAAAGTTAGTGATAGATGATATGATTTTCAAATGCTCACGAGTAGCAAACACGCTTTCTGTGTGATGGCCCTGGGGCCACTTAACCATTTCAAAATGTGTATCCTTTCAGCGTCTGCCTCTCTTAAAATGTTCATGGGGGCTAGCGTCTGAATGCTTGTGTCCCTTCAAAAGTCACGTGTTGAAATACCCCCCACCCCCCAGGGGATAGTATGAGCACGTTGGGCGTTTGGGAGGGGCTTTGTCCTCAAGAATGGGATTAGTGCTCTTAAGAAGAGAGACCCACAGAGCTCTCTAACTCCCCTCTGCCATGTGAGATACCATAAGAAGTCTTCACCCCAGAAGAGGGCCC